CGCACCAAACCAGACACACGTTACCAAACAAACACCACCACAACATATAGAAATTTTAAACTGCTGTTACAGTAATGCGCTACACCGTATAGAGAGGAAGTTTTTCTAACTTCTGGTGAAAAAATTATGAAGATCGACCTGTAACTTCCAGAGATATCCACAAAAGATCGCTTACTGTATATCGCACCACAGGATGTACTCTAGATCTTGATCTAATCTAGATCTAGATATCTAGATTCTAGATCTAGAATAGGCCACAGATCTAGATTCTACATGATCTAGAAGAACCTAGAAAAAAAAATCTAGGTCTACCCTGAGCCAAGAGGGCGCAGAAACTCTCCAAAATCACAAAAGAGTTCCCCTACCGGGTCTGTATACTTTGTGACTTTTTTCCCGGTTACCGGGTCTGTACACACTCCCTAAATTAAATGCAAAATATTGCAATGCTGTGCGTCTCTTTAGCTTACTTACAACAGCGTCAGCGTCATCATGAAGCAACGTCTTACCATTTTGTGAACGGGTCCTGGCTTTGATCAAGAACTCTATCCCATTTCTTCATCCATTCAATATTCTCTGCAGCAGCCGCCCAGAAGTTCTCAGGGTCATCTCTGGCACTGGCAAAGGCGCTGTCGTAGTCTGTCGGAGTTGAAGTCGAGGAGAGGGACCGGCAGAGCAGCAGACGTCGATGGTTGGACTTGGATTGTTTGCAGACGGGAGAGAAAAACGTTGACAGCAGTTTATCCTTGGTTCTTGTGAGCCGCAGCAAACTGAATGCTCTGTGAAACGCTGCCATAGCTAGAGGTTACACACGCTATATCCGTGCTCATGTAGCTGATAAGATGTCAATTCATGCGTATTTGGGCAGTGCGGTCTCTCTCACTCTCTCTCTGCTTCTGAAACTGAACACCAGTGGAAATGTTGAACTTCCACCTGTGACACACTTCATCAAAACATAGAAGCAAAGTTCATCTTACACACAGAAGAGTTTTTTGTCAACGGGAGATAATCGTGACTGTTGCCAAGATCTGCCAAGAGAGAGAGAGGGAGAAAAAGAAAGAGAGCACTAGAGGGAAAGAGAGAGAGAGAGAAAGAGCGAGAGAGAGAGAGAGAGAGAGAGAGAGAGAGAGAGAGAGAGAAAGAGAGAGAGAGCGAGATAGAGAGAGAGAGAGAGAGAGAGAGAGAGAGAGAGAGAGAGAGAGAGAGAGAGGTCGCGTAAAACTCGGACATTCCATGTGGGTCGGGACGGTAAACCTCCTCCAGGGCCCACACAACATACGATCTCTCTCTCTCTCTCTCTCTCAATGTTTAGATTTTGCAGTTTGAGCTCGCCGCGTTCGTTGACCTCATTCTAAAAATGTTTCTTACATTGTATAAAAGCCCGATAAGTTCAGTACATGTACCGGTACCTCAAAAGACCTCACGTTGTAGAAATCATTCATTTCTTTCTGCTTTTTTTTGGAAAGGGGGGGGGGGGGGGTGGGGGTGGTAAGTGTTATACGGCGCTGGAAACTGCATAAGGTCATAATAAATTTTTTCAGTTGGTCGGAAATTTTGAATTTTGCCCGGGTGGCGGCCTACAAGAAGCAAACCACACCACAGTAATCTCTGCCTTGCGTACCTGAAGTTGTAGGTCGAGAGAGAAAGTAAGATAAGTTTCATAGTACAATGTATTATCACATTCTAAGATCACTTCACCTCTCCCCGGGACCGCGGGGCTTTGTTTTTAGGCTATGCCATACAATCAAAGATTTCTACTAGACTCTAGGGATTTTTTGTTACAATTAGCGGCAGATAAAAATTTAGCATAGTCACGACTGCACAGTCCCAATTGTATAACAATATTCGGGAGTATAATACATTTGGTGTGTCCCATGTGTGTTGTAATGTTGTCATCTAAAACAAAAGAAAATTTATAGGCCTACATATTATGAAATTATTATGAAGTTGAAAATCTTCCACGATCGTGGCACAGCTGCAGAGCATAACGTCACTAAGCGGTTCCTACAGGCCTATCCTTCATAGGCTTTTAGCGTTATTTTTTATTGTACATGTAGTTGTTCTGTGTCTTCGTCTGAAAGAAAATAGTCCGTGTGTGTGTGTGTGTGTGTGTGTGTGTATGTGTGTTCAATATCGAATTGCATGAGAAGAAAGGAAGTAGTAAGAAAGGTTTTGAAAATTGGTACATGTATTCCAACGTAAAGCGCATTGAGCTATTTCTTTCGGAAATGCGCTATATAAATGTTATATAATCATTATTAATATAATTATTATATTATCATTAGCCTATTATTATTTCGCAGCCGTGCGAGGCGTGGAAAATTTCCAACTGTGAGCGGGGCCATACCAATACGGTTGAACCTGCTCGATCTAACGATCACCTGTATAAGACAACAACCACCTGTACAAACGGCCATTTCCCATTTCCCGCCGTTGCGAATATTTTTTTAAGAACATTCTATTGACACTGTGTAAGACGGTCACTTGTCTAAGACAGCCACTTTCCTCGACAATGGCTGTTCAAGTTGGCAATTTCGATTGTAGGCCAGCATGTATTTCAAATTGGGCTCTCGACCTGCCGAAATGAGTGGATTACTACTACTACTACTAAGAAAGTCTACTAATAATAATATTTGCAAAACAAAGAAAAAAAAAAGTTGTTTTAAGATCAGTGGCCTGACCAGTTGCTTTGTTGTTGTTGTTTTTTCAAAAGTTTTACGGCATTTGCAATACAATTGGGTCATAATTATTATAAGTGTCGAAGATTAGAGGTATTACTCGAAGTAATATACAAAGAAAAGGAAGAGGAGAGATAAGGGCAATATAATTATTATGTTAGACAGGAAAGAAAGAGCAAAAAAGAAAATTAATTAATAAACACCTTCTCCATGCTGGAATCAAATTCATGACTTCTGTGTGCAACATTAGTGGATGCAACTGCAACACTTTCCATTAAGCTTTCAGACTCGCAATCGTGAGGACGTGGGTTCAAATCCCAACAGGGACCTGACGTTGTGTCACTGGGAAAGGCTTTTAAGGCGAATTTTCCTCACTTCACTCTGGTGAGAAAGGGTACCCGCTATAGATAGCGAAATATCTTGTCAGTTTGTCAGTGTTATAGCGTTTCATCAGCTACTTGCACTGTATGCTTCTCGGGAAATCGAGAAAGTTTCTGAGTATTCTAAAAGGTGGGAACGGATACCTGGTTAAAGACAACGAAAGATCTTGTCAGTTTGTTAATTTTTGAGCAGAGTGTGTGCAATCATCAGCTTGCATTGTATGCTTCCCGGGCAAGCCGAAAAGGTTTCTGAGTGTCTGCTGGGGTTATAATACTTGTAAAGCACACAGACTAGAGAGAAGTAACAGAGGGAAAAAAGAAAAGAACTAGGACCTAGATCTACCAGTGGCACCCTCCAACTACCCATGGTGATCACGGTGGTATGGTTATAATCCTGGAAAAATTGATTTTCTAACATACTATTTTACTGGTCAACACTTATAATCTCCACACAAACACCTACAATGACTTGTCACATCAGACTGTTTTAGTTTTAAAAAAGTCTTAGTAGAGGTTTTACGGCCCTCGCAACTGCTCACATCAGACTGAAACAGAAATAATTCAACAACAAAAAACAACAACAATAAAACAACAAACAATTCATAATTCATAGACTTTGATATTTTTACTTTTGATTTACACAAAAATTGACGGAAAAAAGACACCATCAGAAACAAAAATTTCTTTCTCCAGTGATCAAAAAAGCAGTGACATATTATTGCAATGACGTCAAGTTTTGTATTACCCCAACAATGCAAACTGAGTCCAAAGCAAGAGAAAACAAAAAAAGTTCTACAAAAAAGGACTAAACTTTAGTGGGAACAGGTCACAGGGGCATAGAAGAACTCTAGAGGGATCATCAATTCAAGAGACAAACCAAGGAACCAGAACTCATTTACACCTCACAACTATGAGGGTCTTAGTTTTAATTTCCGTAAGACTTTTACAGCGTTCGCAACACAAATAAGTCATATAAAGTGCAGAAGACTAGAGGTGCTACGAGACAGTAACATGCTAAATAAAAAAGAGGAGGAAAGATACGGACGATAGTTGTTTGATAGGAAAGAAAGAGCAAACCACACCAGAGCACCCGCCAACCACCTAGTAAGAGGTCTACGCTGCGACTAGGACACCCTGACAATGTCCATAAGCGTACAAGAGATAGATTGTGAACGTCAAGGGTTCTGGAATGTAATACATATATATATGTATGTTATATAAATAGACCACTTGACTTCTCTAAAGCTAACTACGTGGGGGGAAATGCGTTTGGAGTACATCAGTCGCACGTCCACGACAAACTATGACGACACTTTTCGTGGCCAGTCTGACACAGACTTTGACAATACACCAGTGACACGTCTGACACACGCTGTGACAATTATAACAGTGTGGCCAGGCTGACACATAAACTATGACAATATATCAGGCTGACACATAAACTATGACAATAGACCAGTAGCCAGGCTGACACAATCTATAACAATAGATCATAAAAATAAGTTTAAAAAATTGTAAATGTTTTCATCTCAAAATGACACAAATTAGATCAATTAGAACGCGGTTCTTTTGACCCTGCCTGTCAAGGCCTACCCGGCCTGAGAGGGGTACAACGTAACCCAACAGAAAGATGGGAGACACTGAATAAAAATTCTCCTCTCTTGGGAATTACGCTCAAGTCTCCTGTGCGCCACAGAGAAAAACCTAACCGCTACACCACAGACGCCGGTAAACTGCGACAATGTGTCTGACACAAACAATGACAGTACCTACGTCAGAGGTACATCTGTCACAAACAATGACAGTACATATTTTGTTTTTTTAATGGCGCTCCCAACTGCATAAGGTCATAAGAGCGCCAAGGGGTGGATGTCAACAGAGAAGTCCTTACAGGGAAGCAGACTTACTCTGCTCACCTTTCTAGCTTCAACAGCACAAAGTATGCTTAGACTATCAAGGCACCCCGGAAATAGCAGGTCACAAGAGTGTGACAAAACATACAAAAGAAGTAGAGGAAAAAATTACGATAGTAAGGATTTGGAAAGAAAAAGCAGCAGTTCCCTCTTGCAGTTCAGGCATAGTCATGAGCATGACATTGATGAATCAGCCCATTTACAATTACAATTCTACTGTGCATAAGAACTCGAGATGTTAATGTCCCCCTCCCTTTGGGAAACACAAACTATGATAGTGATAGTACCTAGGTCAGAGGCACATCTGACACAGACAATGACAATATCTATGTCAAAGATAAATTTTACACAAACAATGACAATAACTACTCCAATGTCATGGGTGAATCTAACGCAAAACTTTGACAATATATCAGAAACTAATCTGATACAAACTAAGACAATACCTCATTCTGACACAAAGCTTTGAAAATATATCAGCGGCCATCCTGACACAAACCCTGACCGCAATCAGAAGCCAGCCTGACATGACCTATGGCACTGTCTTGATTTTGTTGCTGCGGCAGCCCACACACACACGCACGCAGACACACATTCCCAGCCCACCATAACAACCACAATATGCCAATCGCAACGCATCGTGTGCGTGTGAGGGTTGGGCTTAAGCCTCATTTAAGTTTCAATGAATGAAAACAACTTTTGTTCCACTAAAACATTTCATAATCTCAGAAAAAACAACAGTCCCCTGCCTCATAAGACACTTGCTCTGTTTGACAATTAGTACCCTGTACTAGCTCATATTCGTTCACAGATTTCTAAATCTTAAAAGTATTTGATTATCATCTTAAAACAGTAGTAATAAAAAATGAAAATGGGCAGTAAGGAACCTTCTTCCAATGGGAAGACTGCACAAATGAGACAAACATGACATCACAATATTATAACAACTGCAGTAAAAAAAAAAGTCCAAAGCACGGAGCTTTACAGGAACATATTAGGGAGCTGGTGGTTAAAAAAAACATGAAAAGCAGATCAATAAGAAATTTTTAGAAATTGTGGAAAACCTTCAGCACTGTGACCCAACACTTCTTTTTTAGGAACTGTAGGCTTGCCAACGTTTTTAAAACCCAATTAGGGACACCCTACGCTAAAACACCAGATTATGTAACAACAACGAATAAAATAACATCAAACGAGACTGGCTTTGGAGCCAGAGTATGAGAAAAGTCTCTCAAATCAAATTCCTGTTTGCCAAATCCGAGAGAGTCCTGGGAAATCCAGGACAGTTAGTTAGCAAGCCTGTAATTGTAAATTATCTTATGCTCCATAGAAATATGACACATAATTCAGGATGGGAACTAGTTCAACTCTGCCATTCATTCAGAGCCAACATTGGCTAGGCAGCAGACAAATTCCAACAGACAGACGGAAGTACTTTTTAAAAAAAAAATCCTTCCCTGTTCGGAATCTGAATTTCAGGGCAAACCTGCTCTGAGTGGAATGAACTTCCAAACAGACGATAGACTGAGGAAATTGGCCACCGAGATGTGAACGGCAAGTTGAAGGACTCCTGCAATGCTATCAACAAGATAAAATGTGACTAGAGAGAAAAGTGTTCACTTCTGATGGCAAATTCAAACATAATATGCAGGTCGGACAAGTCTGTACAAATACTATCTGTCTATCTTTATCCCAGAGTCAAAAGAGAATCGACTTCCTACAAAACCATTTTCATCCACTGCAAATGTTTGCTGATATTCCCACATCAAACACATCATCGTAATGCCCACTTTAGTTTTTAATTTTCGAAAGAGTTTTGAAGCACTTGCAGCACTCCATAGGTCACACAAGTGCCAAAGATTAAAAGTGTTACTAGAGACTACCATACAAAAAAAAAAAAGAAGTCAGAAATATAAAAACGACATATGTTCGATATGAAGGACAGAAGGTGCAAACCACACTAGTGCACCTGCCAACCAACCACCCACGCACCCACTGTAATACCCTGACAAACTGGGAATATCGCAAGAAGATAGAAAGAGAGGATGAACACCCTCAAAGGTTTCTTCCTCCAATCGGGGAGACGTTCTCATCCTTTCTTCCATTCACAATCTGTGCTGTGGTTTCTTGGGAATAAAATCTCATGAGGACCACCCATCTTTCCCATTGTGAAGCTTCAGAGATGCTGCTCTCAAATACGTCGAAACTCGAGTCACGCGTCTCAAAGCCCCACCGCCAACTGTGTCAAGGTCATACTCTCAAGTGTGTCAAGGCTGTACTGTCCAGAGTGTCAAGGTTGTAACGTCAACAGTGTCAAAGGTTGTACTCTCAAGTGTGTCAAGATCGTACTGTCAAGCATGTCAAGGCCACACCGTGAAGTGTGTCAAGGCCATACCGTACTATCAAGCTGTGTCATGGTCCCATTGTCAAATATGCCAAGGTTGCACCTTCTAGCGTCAACAAGACAGTGTCAAAAGTGCATTGTCAAATGTGTCAAGGTCGCACTGTCTAGCATGTCAAGGTCACACCTGTCCTCCTACTCTCAGCTCTAACCCCCTCTGGAAAAAACGAGCACACTGCACAGAGTAGACAGCTAGCCACAGTGATGGTGACCAGCAAAAATAGAAAGGGGAAAAAAAAAAATACCGCCGTACACATAAGGTTCATCATCATAACAATCAACAAAGTAAAAACACACATACAAAAAACCCCCCAAAAACAAAACAAAACAAACAAACAAACAAAAAAACTGCACCAAAGAACTACAACCATAGAATCTGATAGAAAGTAAGTACGTACCAATCACCACAATATTATATATAACACAGCGCTGAGCCGGGGGGGAGGAAACATTCTGGGCGAGAAACATTCACACTGAAAGGACATAATATATTATAATGAAATTATCACCGACACCTTTACACAGATCAAAGAATAAAATGTGACCTCCATAACACAATTGCCAAGGTCATTTTCTTTCAGGTTCATTCCTAGTTATAAGTAAAAGCTGTAAAGCCCTCAGAGAATGCTGTAGGGCATAGATATGCAATACATAAATGCAATCAAAATTATTATTGTTATGGTAAAAATGCCCATTATTTGTCAGTCTCCTCAATATAACAGGGTTTTGTTTCGTGTATGAAAATTTGAAGTTTTTTATACACATTTTAATTTTTGCTTGAGTTATAAACACTGCTTTAAAAACATGGTGAAATGGTAAAGGTTTAACGCCACCATCAACACTAATAGGTAATTTAAGAGGGGGGACCTCTCAGTATAATGTCCATCCCTGAAATGATGGAGCCACATGGGAAATTCATGCAAAGTGCCTTTCACGATGAAGCAATTTTGGACTGAGCTGAGTCTCGAAAAAATCTGCTCTGGTAAGCACTGTTTTTCAAGTTTTCTCTGCACAATATTTAAAAAAAAAATGACTTTGACAATTCTGTCATGATCAAGACAAAAAGTTTAAAAGAAAGATTAAAAATCGTCAACAAATTCTGGGGCAACAACTCCCCCACACCCCTCCCCCCTCCCTCCCCTACACCACACACCCCTGTCTCCATGAATCTCAGGAACATAGTAAAGCAACAACGGGAAGCAAAGCATAACACCACCGGCGCTTGACAAGAAAAAAACTTCCACCCAACAATCAGAGCACGGCACGATGAACGAAGCAAACACGAAATATTGCCGATAAATTTCTTGTAATATCACGACACGAGCCAGGCGCAGGGACAGAGTAGAATCCTGAGTTTGAGTTGTAGGAAAGAGTTTTACTGCACTTGCAACACAATTAGGTCACATAAGTGTTGAAGATTTGAGGTGTTACTACAAGAGAGTAATACAGAAAGAAAAGAAGGAGGAGATGAGATAAGGATGATTGATGTTTGACAGGAAAGAAGAAGCAAACCACACAAGAGCACCCGCCAACCACCTGTTAGGATCCAGAAAGAATTTGAGTTGTTGCTGTCATTGAGTAAAGAGAAGCACAGCCACACAACAATGGTCTTTAAGTGCTGGGGAAAAAGCAAGACAGACAGACAGAAACAACAGAGGGAAAGTAAAAAAGTGAGATGCCATTGAGAAGAAGAAGAAGAGCCAAACCCTCGTTTTATGTACGGTAGTCATGAACAGGTGGCAAAGCGTTAACCATTTCCAATCATAGCGTCTTTCAGGCTCCGAGTTATAAGTAAAAGCTATAGGGCCCACAGAGAATGCTGTAGAGCATGGATATGCAGCGAGTGAAAAGAATCATGAAGGAGAGTCTGCAGGTTGAAGAACCAGCAAGTCGACCACCCCTGAGATCTAGCAGGGGAATGCAAAGATGATGACAGACAGAAGAACCTTCACACCCGATGTTTTTGATTCTCAAAACTCGTGTAACATTTTTGTGCTTTATATAACGGGAGCAAACCCTGAGACAAACCGCTCCAGCTTTGGCCACTTTGAGCAGGGAAGGAAAGAAGGAAAGAAAAGGAAAAGCAGAAAGTGCGGCACAGCACTGAATGAGTATGAGAACAACACTAGCTGTGAAAAACCGACTGACGGTTTTAGAAAACAACACATGTGCTGAAACGACCGTCTAGGACTGACTGTTTCTGAAAACAACACATACATATGTCAAAATGACAATGTGGAAAGGATTGTGTTTGACAACTACATGTCCATTCCGAAATGACAGTCCTGCAGTCGTCCCTTGCCAAATGACAAAATATAATTTCCAACTGGGAAAACAGAACAAACATTTATAGCACAGTGAATAAAATCTTTCTGTTTACCCTGTCCCTCTAACAACGATCAGTGTTGAAAACAACCAAGTCCAGGGGTAGCAAACTCAATACCATACACCCCCCCCCCCCCCTATCCCCCATGCACATACACAGACATGTTACAGTAGAAGAGCCAATGCTTTTCGGTAAAAATTTAACATCATGATTATCTTAAATCGTCATTCTAAATGCTAACAACAGCCTTTTGACATAACAAAGTACAATTCAGTGGGGGATGCAGTTCACAAAAACTGTTGAGTTGTCACAACAACCAAACTCTGTTTCTCCATTTGTAAAACTTCACAACAGATGTGTCGACAGAAAGTGCAGAAAGAACAGCATACAGTAACAATTATAAAGCTACAGAGCATAAAACTGGAAGAAATTTTTTTTAGAAAACCGATATTGCTCACACATGACTTCTTTTCTGGCAGCAAAGAAAAACGACGACAAAAGCACCTCCTCTCAAAGAAAAGCGACCCCCAAAACAAAACCCACCCACTTTGAGAGGTCTGAAAAAACCCCCAATAAAGCATTCCATAACCTCCATTCTGTAGAAACCACTTTAAAAATCTTTTTTTTAAAAGGAAAAGGAAAATGAAAAAAAACCCACACACCCCAAAAACAACCCCAAACGTAAACAAAAACCCTTTCCCTTTAGGCCGCACATGTTGGGATGTCATAAGCTCCTAAAGCGATGATGTCACCCGGCCCACAAGTGATGATGATGATGATGTCCTGCGCTCCTCAAGGGACACAAGTGATGATGTCTCGCGACCCTCAAAGCCATGATGCTGTCTTGTAGACTGGAAGTCCAGGTGGGAATTATAAGTTAAGGCAAGTGTTGTATTTCCTTCCTCTTCGCAAAGAACAAAAATAATCGGCCAAGCCGAGCTCGGCCGAGCCATCCGTCGTAGAAGCAGGTAGGCAGACAACGGCCGCGATGACGAAGACGAAGACATCCACAAGGGTCATAAGGTCAGGCAAAGCAGGCAGGAGGAAGAGATGAAGGTCATCGCAATCTTTGATCTTCGTGAATATTTTGTTGAGAGGCCAATTTAAAATCTCGTAGGTCAGTCAGTTTCTTGTCCGGTCCGGCAGTAGCTTTGTCACTGTGGAGGTGGGTGGGTATTTAGTTTTAATGAGAGTTCACAGCATTTTGGAAAATAAATCTAGATAAAAAAGTGTCAAAGATTAAAAGTGTAACTAGAAAGTAACATATAAAGAAAAGAAGGAGGAGAAGAGTTTTTAAAACAATTTTTATGGTGACAAGGATGATGGATGTTCCATAAGAAAGAAGGAGAAAAGCAAACCACACCAGAGCATGGAAAGGTGTGGAGGGGATGGGCGGGTGTGAGCGAATAGGTACCCTCTCTCTTCTTTGAGGTAGTTTTAGTTTTAGTAGAGGTTTTACGACGCTCGCAGCTGCATAAGGTCACATGGGCGCCAGAAGTTTATAGGTGTTACAAGAGAGTAACAAACATAAAAAAGAAGGGGAGATAAGGACGGTGGATGTTTGATAGGAAAAAAGAAGCAAACCACACCAGAGCACCCGCCAACTGCCCACCCTTTGAGGTAACATCTAATCCAGAACCTCAAGATATACAGATGACAGAGGTCATAAAGTAAAACCAAGACGTGCCATGAACTTATGTGAAACAACCAACTAGTGTTCCGAGTGCTCATATGACCATATGTAGTTGCGAGTGAGTGACATAAAACTCTTTATCAAATTAAAAACAGAAGACAGCAGTGTGGCACGTGGGTGATATTTATCAGTTTGATTAACAAAGAAAGCAATCAACATGGTTTTACTGTCAGTGCCCAGCAGGCTGTGACAGACTGCCGAGATGGTAACCGCAACAAAAATCAAGCCTGTGGCTTGCAGATGATAAAATTCTCATTTATAAACTTATTGAAAACTACCTCCTACCGTAAAAATAACATCAAATTCGGAACCAGTGTATCAAAATTAACACAATGCCTCGTCGGTAACTTTTTTCTTTCTGGAATTTGAAGATCACACACAAAAAACCCTCAATTATTTTTACCAGGATTGTATCATAAATTATTTTCTAATAACACAAAGAGGCAGGATAACTGTCAGTAGTCTTCACCTCTGTTTTTAGTTAGTAAGCTTTTTCCTGCACTAGCAACACATTAAGGTCATATACGTGTCGAAGATTTGAAGAGTTACAAGAAAGTAACAAACACAAAAAAAAAAAGGAGGAAAGATAAGGTCGATAGATGTTTGATAGGAAAGAAGGAACAAACCTCGTTAGAGCACCCCACCAAACACTCACACAGTCTTAACGGTATATGTAATATCCCCTTGAAGACTGAAAAAAAAAGATGAGAAGAAGATTACATATCCGAGTGGACAGATCTGAAAGTATTACATGAGGATCAGAGCAAAGTCCAAACACTTAATTAAAGGAATGTGATGAGATTTGAAGAAAGTCATCCATGGTGCCCCAAGGGTCCTAATGACTACATGATTGATGATGATGATGAAGATGATGGTGATGATGTTGAAGATGATGGTGATGATGATGATGTTGTCAAAGTCAACTTTTCGGATAACAATTTTGGATAATACTACATCATCAGTACATACCCTTCTGTTTTTTTTACTTATTACCTTTAGTAACATTTTTACAGCACTAGCAGCACAAATAGGTCACATAAGAGCCGCAGATAACTGGTGTTTAGTTTTAGTAGAGGTTTTACGGCGCTCGCAACTGCATAAGGTCATATGGGCCCCAGAAAATTAGAGGTGTTACAAGAGAGTTACAAACATGAAAAAGAAGAAGGGGAGATAAGGACGATAGATGTTTGATAGGAAAGAAGAAGCAAACCCCACCAGAGCACCCACCAACCACCCACTATCTGGTGTTACTTGAGAGTAACATACTAAAAAAAAAAAAAAGGAGGAGAGATGATAAGGATGTGTGATGTTTCTGATGATAGGTTAGAAGGAGCAAACCACACCAGAGCACCTGCCAACCACCCACTTACCCTTCTCTATGGCTGTTTGTGTTGCTGCTGCTGCTGTTGACCCTGCTGCTGTTGATTTAATTTTTCCTGCAAATCTTTCAACTGCTGTTGCATCTGTTGCTGGTCGGCTACTGGCTGTTGGTTCATGTTCAACTGAGACGGCTGTTGTTGTTGCTGTTGTTGTTGTTGCTGTTGTTGTTGTTGATTCACCTGCTGGCTGGCTGGTGGCTGGGCTGGCTGTTGTTGTCCGGGTGGCTGTTGAAATTGTTGCTGTTGTTGCGGTGGTTGTTGAAATTGTTGCTGTTGTGGTGGTTGTTGAAATTGTTGTTGTTGATGTTGTGGTGGTTGTTGAAATTGTTGCTGTTGGCCAGGATGCTGTTGGAACTGTTGTTGCTGATGCTGTTGTTGTTGAAATTGTTGCTGCTGTTGCTGAAATTGTTGCTGTTGCTGTTGGAACTGCTGCTGCTGAAGGTGTTGCTCTTGCTGGAACCGTAGGTCTGGGGGAGGCTGTAAGCAAACAAAGGGGGGGTTAATGACAGGGGGCGGTAGATTTGGCTTTCTTGCCCATATATTCGGCAGACTGTTTAGGTTAGTGGTGAGTGGTGAGGAGTTTTTTAGGTGGAGGGGTTTTATGGGTGTTTTTTTACTTCTACTTTTTTTTTTTTTTGGTTTGGTTTTGCATAAGTGGGGTTTATTTGGGAGAACTGGTAGGGAAGAGGTAGGCGCCACTCTGTTAACAGGGGTATAGAACCTTCTTATGAGCACTTGCTGATAGTTAAAAGATTTTATGATAAACATACTCAATATTTGATACCGGTGTCTGCTGTCTGACGATTGCGGTTTTGGCGTCTGCACGCAAAGGACGTGAGTTCGATACTTCCATGGGGAATATCCTTTGTCAAGAATATGTCTGTCTGTCTGGGTACACAATCCTTCTTAGCAATTTTTCTACTCGACAGGCGTGGCTGATGCAGTTACCATTATAAATTATCTAAATTGGACTCAAAATATAGGGGTGAGGGATGGGGAGAAAAAGGGGAGAGAGAGAGAGAGAGAGAGAGAGAGAGAGAGAGAGAGAGAGAGAGAGAG